TATTTATTTATTTATTTATTTATTTATTTATTTATTTATTTGTTTGTTTTGTTTGTTTGTTTTACATTCGTAGCAGCAAAGGAGCAGCAACAAAAAAGGTGCCTATACACCTGAAATATCTGTCTCCTCTTGCGGTGTATGCTGAGCTTCTTCTTTTTCGGTTTTGTTTATTATAAAGCACGCCGAGGGAGTTAGTTTTTATCTCACCAGCAGCAGCAGCAGCAGCAGCAGCAGCAGCAGCAGCAGCAGCAGCAGCAGCAGCAGCAGCAGCAGCAGGTGTTGCTTGTTATCGATTCAAGTAGCAGCAAAAGGCTGTGTTGTTGTTTATTGTTTATTGTTTCTTCTTTTTTTTCTTTGGTTTGTTTTATATATAAATATATATATAAATATATAAATATATATTTATATATATATTTATTTATTTATTTATATATATAAATATATTCATATATATTATATATATATTTTTTATATATAAAAACAACAAAGCGAGAGGGAAAATAAAACAAGATAAATAAATAAATAAATAAAACAAAACAAAACAAAACAAATAAAATTAAAATAAATAAAATAAATAAATAAATATAAACCGTTGTGTATACCTCCCTATACACCCCAGCAAAATGCAGCAGCAGCAGCAGCAAGCAGCAGCAGCGGCCCGCAGGCCTAAGAGCAGCAGCGGCAGAAGCAGCAGCAGCAGCAGCAGCAGCAGCAGCAGCTTTGCTTCACCGTCAGCAGCAGGTACAGCATCCGGCTGCAGAACACCCAAAGCTGCAGCAGCAGCAGCAGCAGCAGCAGCAACAGCAGCAGCAGCAGCAGCAGCAGCAAAAGAGGGAACCGTTCAATTCACATCATACAGGTCAGTAGCAGCAAGAGCGATAAGAGAAGAAACCCCAACCCTCACAATGCAGCAACAGCAACAGCAGCAGCTGCAGCAGCAGCAGCTGCAGCAGCAGCAGCAGCAGCAGTTGCAGCAGCAGCAGCAGCAGCAGTTGCAGCAGCAGCAGCAGCAGCAGCAGCAGCAGATGCAGCAGCAGCAGCAGGCGGAACGGGAACGGCAGCAGGAGCAGCAGGAACAAAAGCTTGCAGCCGAAGCCGCAGAAGCAACGTCCGCAGCAGCAGCAGCAACAGCAGCAACCGCAGCAGCAGCAGCAGCAACAACAGCAGCAGCTGCAGCAGCAACGCCAACAGGTAAAGGGAGAGGCCGAGCAGGAGAGAAGCATGCAAAGGAAGGAAGGGGAAGAGGGCAAAAGTCCAGCAGCAGCAGCAGCAGCAGCAGCAGCAACAGCAGCAGCAGCAGCAGCAGCAGCAGCAGGAGTAACAACAGCAGCAGAAAGAGGAACAGCAGCAGCAGCAGTACAAACAGCAGCACGGTTCTATCTGCAACAACCTCCCCCTCATCATCATCATCATCAGCAGCAGCAGCAGCAGCAGCAGCAACAACAGCAGCAGCAGCAGCAGCAGCAGCAGCAGCAGCAGAACGAAGACAGCAGCAGCTAGAACAAAAACAAATACAAGAAGAAATATCTCTTCTCTGTCCCCTTCCTATGCTTGATAAAAACAAAGAACAGCCGCAGCAGCTGCTGCTGCTGCAGACCCTCTTCGCCGGACAGATGCAGGACGGCAGACCCAGGAGTAAACCCTAAACCCTAAACCCTAAACCCTAAACCCTAAACCCTAAACCCTAAACACAAATACAAGTACACACTCAAGCATACACACAAGCACACACACAGCTAGCTAGCTAGCTAGCTAGGTAGCTATTTGTACTTCTATATACTCAGCTAGCTAGCTAGCTAGCTAGCCATGTCTATAGGTAGCTAGCTAGCTAGCTAGCTAGCTAGCTCTATAGGTAGATAGGCTGGTGGATGGGGAGTCAGGATATGCACAGCAGCAGCAGCAGCAGCAGCAGCAGCGATTCCAGTAGTCATAACAGCAGCAACAACAGCAGCAGCAGCAGCAGCAGCAGCGACAGCAGCAGCAGCAGCAACAGCAGCAGCAGTATGATAATGGTGATAAATGGTGGTAATATATTTGTTTTATTTGCTGTTTGTGTTTGTGCTGCTGCTGCTGCTTCTGCTGCTGCTTTTCTGCTGCTGCCTCTCCCTCTCCTGCTGCTGCTACTGCTACTGCTGCTGCTGCTGCTGCTGCTGCTGCTGCTGCTGCTGCAGGACGCAGCCCGCTTGATCCTTATTCGCTGCAGCTTCTGTACTGGGATAGGCGCTGCTACTCGTTCAGCAGCAGAGGGGCAGACTGCAGCAGGGGGCTGCGCTGTCTCTTTTGCCACACCCCTGAGGAGTTGCTGCTGCACCCAGCTCGTTTCTGTTCTCGTCTTGCTGCTGCTGCTGCTGCTGCTGATGCTGCTGCTGCGGGTGGTGCTGGTGGTGCTGGTGCTGCAGCAGCAGCAGCAGCAGCAGAAACGGAAGAGATAGAGAAAGAAGAAGAAA